TGCTAAAATTTGCAGCATGGGTCCATAACTCCTCTAAACATGAGGCTTTCCAAGCCTCTCCTTTTGAGATCGTTACAGGAGTAAAACCAAGGACAAATTGGATACCTACATCATGGAATAGAAAAGATTTATCCAATGTCCAAGAATATTATAGAGACAAACAAAATCATTTGTCTGAGATCAGAAAAAAGGCTATCGAAGCCATCAGGAAAGGTCAAGCTTCCTATTTGGGAAGACTCAATCTACATCGAAAAGGAAAAGAATATCAGGTGGGTGACAAAGTGTGGATTAGAATACATCACCAAGCTACGTATGTAGGTCAAAAGTGGAGCCCAAAATGTAAGGGCCCATATACAGTTATTGACATCGTCAATCCTGTAGTCATCAGAGTTTGCGATGACAAAAATCCAACTTGGACTGACGTAATCCACGTCAGCTACGTCCAACCATATGTGTCACAAATGCCGCCACCTGAAAAGCATCCTGTCGATGATATCTCCGACAATGAGTATATTCCACCAGCCCCTAGCCTTCAAAAATAGCCCAAAAGCACTGTCATAGAAGTTGGCAGTACCAAAGGTAACAAGGATCTCCCTAAAGACACCAGAGATCCTTCAGAGGAACCGTTCGATTTTTCTTCTTCTCCATCTCCAAAATTACAGCAGAAAGAGGACTTTCATTCTTCTTTCAAAGGGGGTGGTTCTCCCCAGTCCTCTAAAAATTCTGAAAATTTTCAAACTATTTCTCCTTCTATTCTGACTAAAACACTTGCTAATGCAACTCCATTCTCAGATACTGACGACCTTTTTGTCTCAGCTGACAATACTCTACATGAAGAAGCAGCTGATGATTCTCTTCCTGCTCAGCAGACTGTCATTGAGCAACCTTCCTTCTTACAGTCTCTTACTCAAGGAGTTAAAAATCTGACAACCGAATTTGGGAAATTCCTAAATCCTGATGTTCCTTCCCAAAATCCTAATGCTTCAGCAGAGACTCTTCCCTCTCTCTCTGAATCCATTAACGAACATCATACTCCTCCTGGAGCAGTCAGTACTCCTAATACTTCAAAAGATAGGACAGAATTCCCTTTCAGCTCAAAACAATCAGCGGAAAGAAGATCCCTAAAGAAAAGAAAGTCTCAACCCAAGATACCAGAAGAAGAGGATCTAGAAAATCTTGCCAAGCTAGAACAATCAAGGGAAGATAGATCTCGACCTTATTTTCATAGAGATCAACGTCCTACTTTGCAGGAAAGAACACCTGAAGGCGCGAGACAAAGATCCAGATCGCCACCTAGAACAGGTCATTCTGCTGCTGGACCATCAGCAAAGAAAAAATC